AAACCGTTCACTCTTGTGACTCCAAGATATCGAATCAAAAGAATTGATGCGCTTCATTCTACTTATATATTTGTTCCGCGTTCGATGAATGAGAATGGGACCAAAGACATAGAATCAAGCGATTTTTGATTACATTGAACTTGTGATAACCAAGGCCATCCAGAGTCTAAACGAAACAGGAAGAATTGCTCATTTATGTTCAATTTTTGAATTTTTTGGCATTCTCAAAATTTATTTCGCGTTTCGACGATCGCAGTTCATAACTATCATAATTGATAACAATTCATAATTGGGAACAATCGGGAAACAATCTCACAAACCAATCGCAGGTAGTTGTTCCTTATCTATCTTATTGATTTGTTAAGTTTTGTGTGTTCATTTTGTTCACACTTGTATCTCCCAGCTTATCTGCCGTTTGCCTTCGAGTTTTATATATACAAAATACTTTCGTAAATTACTTATATCTTATCGAACAGTTGAATCTGTAGTTGAATGATTTTATTATGTTTATTACGTTAAGGTTATAATGCTAAAACAGTACAATAAATTAGTAATAAATTTTTTTATAGATTCTTGTTACATAGATTAAACACTTTGTTTGATATAGCTAATAACGTATTAGAAAAGAAAATAAAAGTTTTTGCTTTTATAGATCAAAATGTCTACTACATCACAGAAGCACAGGAACTTCGTGGCTGAGCCGATGGGAGACAAGCCTGTGACTGAACTAGCTGGTGTCGGAGAGGTGCTAGGAAAAAGATTAGAGTCTGCAGGCTTTGATAAAGTAAATATTTCTTTACATTTATAATTTTAATTGAATGTATCTAAATCACTCTTAGTGTGACTCTTAAATAAATTCTAATTTAATCGTATCTTATTTTATTAATAGGCATATGTGGTCTTGGGACAGTACTTAGTGTTAAAGAAGAATAAGGAGCTGTTTCAAGAATGGATGAAAGATGCTTGTTCAGCGAATGCGAAACAGTCAACAGATTGTTATCAGTGTCTCACTGATTGGTGTGAAGAATTTTTGTAATTGTGATAGATTTGACTTAAATATTCTTAAAAAAAAAAACAAAGTTTAATTATAAAGTTATATGACATTACGCAAAATGTAAAATATATTTTAACATTTATATATTTTTAATATATCTTGCTTATAAACAGTAACTTTGAACAGTAAACATAAAATTTATTTTTGCAAATTGAATAATCACATTTTATAATCAAATAGTTATTATCACATGTATTTTAGTAATTATTTAGTATTTGATCATTAAGAATGTAAAATGATTTTTTTGTATTTATTCTATGATCAATCGGTGAATTTCAGTGAATCATATCAATAACAGTAATGGATTAAAGAAATTTTGATTTTTGTACACATTAAGATATTGAAAAAAATATTACTTCAATGAACACAAAAGTTATAAAAAAAATATGCAGTCTTAGATGTAAGTACATTGACACGCTTACATAAAATGTGAATGTAATATTTAAATAGAACAAAAAATAAAAGGATTTATTCTCTAATAATGTTCTGATTGAAAAGTATTGATTTCTGATTATTTAAACAAAATATTTAAAATAAAATTTATGTAGAAAAGAAGGTAATAGTTTCATATATAATTTTATCATATTTTATTTTATTTTAAATTGGATTTCATTTTAAATTATTTTTTAAGCCAACATATCTGTTCTCTTTTTTCTTTTTACTCTTATCTGTTCTATTTTTGACTTTTATTTTTCTCGAAAATAAAAGATTGTAAAAAAGATGTGTTCACATTGAGAATCGAATTTTTATTATCAGGGTTTTAATCAAGACTTTATCGATATATTTTTCTTAATACCTTCGGCACTTTTTTAAGTATCAAAACGTTAAATCAATATATTTATATATAATATTATTATGATTGTGTTCCAAAATCTACTATCAATATTGAAAATCTATAGTGCACGTGACGTAAACTATAGATTTTCAGTACTGCAG